GGAGGAGGAGGAGGAGGAGGAGGAGGAGGAAAAGGAGGAGGAGGCAGGAGAAGGCAGGAGGAGGAGGAGGAGGAGGAGGAGGAGGAGGAGGAGGCAGGAGAAGGCAGGAGTAGGAGGAGGAAGGTTCTTGATGGCAGGAGGAGGCAGGGGGAGGAGGAGGCAGGGGGAGGAGGAGTAGGAGGAGGAGGAGGCAGGAGGAGGAGGAGGACGAGGAGGAGGCAGGAGGAGGAGGAGGAGGCAGGAGGAGGAGGAGGAGGAGGCAGGAGGAGGAGGAGGAGGAGGAGGAGGCAGGAGGCAGGAGGAGGAGGAGGAGGAGGAGGGTTCTGGATGGCTCCTCGCTGTTTTTGACTTTCCCAGACGTCCGGGACTTTCCCAGACCTCCGACGTCTTGAGAATCTTGAGATGGCGGTCTTCGGTACCCTGAAAGTCTCATTAAGCAACCCGGGGGTGACAAACGTGAGAACCCAGGCATCCCCGCGATGCGAAAAAAATCACGACGGGAGGTTTGTGCCCATTTTTTGGCCTCCGGAGGCCCGCACGGGGCCTCGGGAGCGTCAAAAAACGACTTGGGATGAAAAAACGGTCCCGGGGAAGGGGTCCAATCCTTCTTCTCCTCCTCCTGCTCATCCTCCCCCGTTCTCCTCCCTCATCCTCCCACTCTTCCTCCTCGCTCCCAACCCTCCCACTCCGAATCCTCCTCCTCCTCCTTTCGGGTGTTCCCTGCCTGCCTCAACTTGGATTGGGCCGGGGACGTTCGAAGGTGTTCCCACGATTGCTAAGGCCTTACGGCCAGCGCGCCGACCCTGGCAGCCTCGGCCCTCGAGGGCGGCAGTATGGATGGAGAGGGGTTCGTGCTAGGAGGAGAATATTTAATTTCTTGTTGGCGTCTGACGCTTTGGGCGCCTCATGGATTCGCTGCGCGGAGCGAGCTGCGCCCAGACGTCCCTGCTGTATGGCAATCGTTTTCGTGGAGCCGGCGGCGAGCCCCAGCGTGCGCCCATGGGTCGCGCGGGGACTCAACAATTCGGCGGGTTGCTTCGGTGTTACTGGGTTGTTTTCTGTTATTTGTGGCAATCTTTGAACGTTCGGCAATGCGTGCGCTGCAGATGGCATCCGCGAGTTTAGGTTCATTTCGGCATGCTGACAGTAGCAGCGATGGGTTTCCCTGGACGGGATGGTGAAGGTGGGTAGGACGTCAGCGTGGGGCGAGCATTTTCCGCTTGACCGTCGCCGTCACTTTCCGAGGATATGGCGCGGCCGACCGCAAAGGATGTTTTTACCCGCGCCGTTCGCGTCCCTTTGTTGCGGTGCTGCGGATTGATGTGCCATGATACATTGGATAAGTCGTGACATGAGCGGCTCTCGTTCGACGTCTGTTCGCGCTTGTCTTGCCAACTGTATATGCACAAAAACGAAAAACCTCATTCCTCTGCTCCACCCATCCCTTGCTCCGCCCAGCTCACATCCTGCTTCCGTCTGCCGCGCGTGCGCCACCGATCCCTGCGGGTCGGGGGCGGCGCGGGGCGCAGCGCAGCAGCGGTGGGGGAGTAGGCGAGGCCGATGGGGGGGAACCATAAAAGGAGCAATCGCGTCACGGTGAGAAGGATAACATCGGAGGGACATGCTGACGCTCAGGGGGAGGAGGAGGAGGAGGAGGAGGAGGAGGAGGAGGAGGAGGAGGAGGAGGAGGAGGAGGAGGAGGAGAGGAGAACAGAAAACATCGAGGAGAACAATGGTGGAACGGGGGGGGGAAATCATCATGGGTGCCAACGTCCGCGCGCCGGATCGCACCGACGCCGTCAAGCGCGATGGCCAGGCGACTTTCCGTGGGTCCCTCCATTTCTCATCAGGTAGTGCCCCCCCCCCCCGGCTCTTCTCGAGGGCCCTCATGACGTCCTTGAGCGCGATCGTGCTCGCGGCGTCCCTGCTCAGCTCTTTCGCGTCGACGCCAGCGATGCGAGCGAGCGCCGCCCTGGGCCCAGAGGCCGCGGGGGCCACCCACGTGCAGGCGACGCTCTCCGCGGAGACGTGCCCGAGCTGGTGGCCCCAGAGGGGGGGGGGGGGGGGGGGCGGACTTCGAGCGGCGCGGGCCGAAGAAGGGGGCGGAGAGGAACGCCTCGTAAAGGCTGCTAGCGTCTCCAAGGGCCTCATCTGTGAACGTCTGTTGGTTGCGCGTCGATCTGTTGGTTGCGCGTCGATCCCCTCCTCCCCCTCCCCCCCCCTCCTCTTCCTCCTCCTCCTCCTCCTCCTCCTCATCCCCCTCCTCATCCCCCTCCTCCTCCTAACTGCCGTTCGCTCTTTTGGGGGAAGGTTGCTCGTCGTCGTCGTCGTCGTCGTCGTCGGCGTCGTCCTCGGGGTCCTTGCTCCGCCCCGCGCCTTCGTGCTGCGCGCGTTTGCGCGGCCCAGCCAGCGGCGGCGGCGGTCGTCAAGAGGGAACGAGGTAGGAGGAGGAAGAGGAGGAGGGGGGCGAGAAGGAGGAGGAGGACGAGGAGGAGGAGAAGGACCGTGAGGAGGAGGGGTGGAGGTGGTGTGGAGGTGCGGCGTTGACGAGTAGTAGGGGTGGAGGAAAGGAGGAGGTGAGAGTCTGGAGGAGAGGTGTGGGGTGTGTGTGGTGTAGCGGTGCGGCGGTGGTGTGGGGTGGGGGGCCGCGATGGCGGTGATGGCCAGGGAGCGGATGAAGGGAGGAGGAGGGAGGAGGAAAAAGAAAGAGGAGGAACGAGGAGGACGAGGATAGGGGGAGTGGCGGCGCGCGTTGAAGATGAGGTGTGTAATGGGGAGGAGGAGGAGGAGGATGAGGAGGAGAGGATGAGGAGGAGCCGGAGGGAGGAGGAGAGGAGGAAGGAGGAGGGGAGCGAGAAGGGGGAAGGTGGCGGCGCGGGGTTGGCGTGATGGAGCAGGAGGGGAGGAGGAGCAGGAGGAGGTGGAGGGAGGATGAGGAAAAGCGAGGAGGAGGGGAAGGGAAGGAGGTGGGGAGGAGAAGCGGTGGGAAGGTGGCGGCGGGGGGGTCTTGTTGAGGGCGATAATGAGGGAGGAAGAGGAGGCGGATGAGAGGAGGAGGAGGAGGAGGAGGAGGAGGAGGAGGGGGAGGTCGGGGAGGAGGGGAAGGTAGCGGCGATGTTGACGATGAGGGAGGGGAGGAAGAGGAGGAGGAGGAGGAGGAGGAGGAGAAGGAGGAGTAGGGAGAGGAGGAGGAACAGGGGGATATGGAGGAGGTGCATGAGGAAGAGGCAGGAGGGGGCAGGAGGATGCGGAGGAAGCAAGGTGCACTGCCCCGAGGGGTTGCGTCGCAGGCTTGTCGAAGCCGCGGAGGCTCGAGGCTCGTGAGGCTCGTGGGGGGCCTCTTTCTTTGTTTCCTCCCTCTCTCCCTCCCTTTGCTCGGTTCCCTCTCCCTCCCTTTGCTCCCCCCCTCTCTCTCCAGCCAGCCCTTCCTCCTCCGCTTTCTCCCTGCCGGGCGGGCCATGTAAGGCGCGCAGCGCAGTGCCGCGTGGCATCGTGACAGCTCCTGCTCTTCCTCCTCATCGTCCTCCTCGTTCCCTCCTCTCTCCTCTTACTTCTCCTACCAGGTCCGCCTCCTCCGCCTCCTCCTCCTCCTCCTCCTCCTCCTCCTCCTCCCCCTCTTCCTTCTCGCCGCTCCCTCCTCCCTCCTCCCTCCTCCTCCTCCTCCTGCTCCTCCTCCTCCTCCTCCCCCTCCTCCCCCCCTCCTTCTCCTCCTCCACCTCCACCTCCACCTCCTCCCCCAGGTCTGGAATTTGTGGAATGTGTGGAACTTCTGGAATTTTGAGATCTTCTGGGATTTCTGGAATTTCTGGAATTTTTGGAATTTCTGGAATGTTTGGGATTTTTGGAATTGCTGGAATTCTGGGATTTTTGGATTTTTTTTTGAATTTTTGGAATTTCCGGAATGTTTGGATTTTTTTGCGATTGCCAGAAATTGCAGAAGTTCCAAAAATTCCAGGCACTCCACACATTCCAGAATTCCAGACATTCTAGAAATTCCAGAAATTCCAGAAATTCCAAACATCCAGAAATTCCTGAGATTCCAGAAATTCCAGAAATTCCAGAAATTCCAGACACTCCACACATTCCAGAATTCCAGAAATTCAAAAAATTCTAGAAATTCCACAAATTCCAAAAATCCAGAAATTCCTGAGAATAGCGGCCCGCCGGTGGCTCGCACTGGGATTTTCGACGACGAATGGAAAAATGCAGCAAAAATACACCAACAATTGCCCAAAACGTATTCGAACCATAATCCCCATATTATTATTTGATCATGTTTGGATTACTGTTGGTGTATATTTTATTTTTCGTCGAAAACCCCCCTGCAGGGGGACAGGCCCGACTTGGCTCTACCGTCCGTGGCTCCGCTGGACTGGTCCGTGGTCAGAGCTGCGGATGCGACGCCCATCGAGCAGCCGTTGGCGTCTCGCGCAGTCGACGTGCACTCTGTCCTGGGCGGCTTCGCGCCGGCTGGAGTTGGATCGCCTCTCCTCAGATATCACGCCGTGGGCCCCGCCGACCCTGGGGGAGATGGTGAGCTGGAGGCCCGGAACTGCGGGGGCCTTGCCCGCGGGCCGCAGGCGCAGGGCGCCAGGCCCTGGACATTGGAATCCGGGGGAACCTCCGGCGATGCGTGTGGCGCGCGCAGGGCGCTCGCTTCAGGGTACCCATCGGTCGTTGAAAGTAGGTATTTTTGGACTCCCAGATTCCGATCTACTTTCAGCGCCTTCCTACCTCAACGATCGAGTGGTTTCACCTCTTCCGTCCTTTGAGGGGGCGAGCGGACACCCAATCTACTTTCAACGCCTTCCTACATCATGGTTCTACGTACTTCTTCCGACCGATGGGTACCCCATCATTCCAAGGCCCCGGCCCGCAGAGGCCCCGCCGCGCGGCGCCGCGGCCCGAAACTGAGGGGGCCTCGCCTGCGGGTCCCCGGTTCGGGGCGCCGGGGCCCGGGCGTCGAATTGCGGGGGACTTTCAGGAGGGGAAGAAACACACAGACTCAATGAATCGCCGACTCCCAGGAAAATGTAGGAAAATATGGGAGGTGGGGGGGAAGACAAAAACACTGAAAATGTTGGAAAATAGGAGGACTGCTTGTATTTGTGTGTATTTATTTGTGTGCGCCCTGGGGCCCCTTCAGACTTTCAAGAGTACGTGTTGCGCACGCAAAGCGCCCGCTTCAATGTACCCTGTCATTCCCAGGCCGCGGGCGCCAGCCCCTGAGAATGGTGGGAGTGCGTTTGGCGCGGGCAGATCGCCCGCCTCAAGGCATACCGTCATCCCTGGGCCCAGGACCGTGGGCGCCGCCGCGCGGCGCTGAGGATCCCCGCCCGGGGGCCCAGCACTGTCCAGGCCAAAGGCCAGGGCCTAGCTCCGTGGAAATATTGGACTCACTCAGGAGAGCGGGTCGAGTTCGCAAGAGGCACTCCTGCAGGCACCCTGCGGTAAAACAGTGGCAAGAAGGCCCCAATGGACCCTAAAACAGGGTACCCCCCACCGGCATGGAATGAATAAAGGGAAGGGAATTTGCTCAATTACAACATTATTCTTCCTTGTCTTTAACTTTCCTGGGGACCGACGACGAATACGATGACGACGACGATAGCGTATCTCACACGCTGGAAGTCGGCAGAATTGTCATTGTTGATGCGCCACGTGCGCTTTCATTTTGTTCAGCTACAACGCAGGAATCAGCGCGTGCGAGAAATGTTGGCAGTGGCAGCACGCCTTGTTGATGGTTGATGAGATGAAGGGCTCGAATTGCGACTTGGACGTGATCAGTTACAGTGCTGTAATCTGCGCGTGCGAGAAAGGTGGTCGGTGGGATCAGGCGCTGGCGCTATTGCGCGACATGGTGAATACGAAATCAGAGCTGGACGTTGTCGTATATAGTGCCGGAATCAGCGCGTGCGATAAGGGTGGACAGTGGCAGCATGCGCTGTCGCTGATCAGCGAGATGAGGAAATCAGATATCGAGCCGAACGTCGTGAGCTACAATGCTGGAGTCAGTGCGTGCGAGAAAAGTTCTCATTGGCAGCAGGCGCTGTTTTTGCTGAGTGGGTTCCAGGAGGTGAAATTGGAGCGTGACGGTACCAGCTACAGCATTGGATTGGGCGCGTGCAAGCAAGGTGGGCGGAGGCAGCAGGCACTGGCGCTCCTCAGAGGAACTGAGTTACTCCAGCTACAATGCTGGAGCCGGCGCAGGAGAAAGGGCCATCGTCCTCTTCCTCCCCCCCCTCTTTCTCCGTCCTCATCTTGAGAAGGGGAAGCGACTTTGTCATCCGCACGTCTTCCAGCACCCCACTGACGCGGGCATCCCGAGAGAGCTGCCTGATGTTCCCTGCTGTTTCTGCGAGGCCACGGCCTCTTTCGCTCCGCCCTGGAGGAGGGGCCCGGACGACGGCCCGTATGGCGTTCCGTTCCGTTCCAGCGAGGATGGGCCTCGAGGCCATCGGATGGAGCTCTGGAGTCCAAGCACGCTTCCGATGCTGAAGAGCAACGTCGTTCACCGATGCCGAGCGACATGATGAGGCCAACCCCGACGAGCTTGGGAGTGGAGAGCTGGCAGTGCTAGCGAGGGCCGCTCTTGCAGTCCTTGAGCTCGTGCGGTGAACATATTGCATCTGCGTCGGCCGGCTCGGTGATTTGGGTTTCTTTCAGTGAGCTGCTCTTGCCTGACTGAGCCGCCACGCGCGCTGAACAGCGCCATTGGACCCGGTATCCCGATGCGCGGCACGACGAGGCCCGCATCGGCTCGTTTGGGCGGCAAGAGCTGGCAGTGCCGGCAAGGGATCTGCCTTTCGCCGGGCGGGCTGTCGGAGAAGGTGAGGATGGGGATGCGGATGTATCAGGCGCGCGATCGGCTCTATTGCGACCTTGATGGAACAAGTAGTGTTTAGACGGCGACGACGACGGCGACGGCGGCGACAATTTGATTCGGCGCGTTGCTGGAATCACTAAATGAACTGTGAGAGGCCCATATTGGGCTCAGGATGGGCTTGACTGGTAGTGGTGACGGTGCTGAGGAGGAGGAGGAGGAGGAGGAGGAGGATTTTTTTCACGCTCGACCCATGCAGACCCCCATCGAGTGGGCAAGAACTGTACTTGCTTGTCCCTCTTGATCTGCTGTGGGTGTCGGCCCTGGCAGAAATATTTCCAGGCCGTAAGTCCTGCGCCAACCATCTGTTTGACGCAGGCTTCACCCAGCTTCTTGACTCGGCCTCCAGTGCTGTAGAAACCACATCGACGGTAGATACAGAGGAACGAGCCATCTGAGCAATCAACCACAGCGCATTGGTGATGGTACTGCTCTAAGAGGCTCGGACAGAGACGGGGCGGCACCACACAGTGGCCAGGCGCAGGTTGCGCCTCACCACGCTTGCCACGCAAGCATAATCCGCACTGCCAAAGTTCTCCCGTCCAGGCCCACTCATGCGGCGTCTTCAACGCGAGAGCTGACTTGGACGGCTTGATATATTGCACGCCTGAAAGATCCAGCCGCGGCCATCTTGGCAAAATCTTCGCCGCCAGCAAGATGACGGCCTTGGAAATCTGAATCTCGCGCTCCACACGAGACAGCACGTCTGGAGAGGCCTGGGGATGGACTCCAGCACCCTGCTTCGCAGCAAGGTCCGCCAGAAAATTGCCTGTCCTTCTCCAGACCTCTTGCTCAGAAATCCCAGCTTCTCTCATATCTTTGTGCGCGGCGACCTTCACACTCCCCTGGAGGTTAGGACCCGCCCCAGAGAGAGCTTCCAGCACAGAGCCCGCGTAGGCCCTATGCCCTCCGAGGCGGTCCCTAGGGTCCCTGGAGCAGGCCGCGACCACCGACGCACAGTCACAGAACAGGGAAGCGGGACCGTCTAGGTTGACCCCCGCCGCAGCCAACGAGGAAAATTCGCCAGCTTGTGACGTCTGCGGCAGGTGCGCCCAGGCAGGACCAAAGAGTCTGGCCAGCATGTGGCCCTGTTCAGACAAAAGCACAAAGGCCCAACCAGCCCTAGACAACTCACGGACCTTGGACTGAAAGCAGCTACCATCCAGGAAGAGGTTTCCTTCGAAACGAACAATCTCGGGCCCAGGAAACTCCAACCCAGAGTCCAGGAAACCCTGCTCGAAGAACTCGACCTGAACCCCGTCCATTCCTTGCTGACAGACAGGCTGCGGCACATAGTCACCAGGATGGGCGAACGCTCCAGTCAGGAACCAGGTCCCCTGAGTTGCGTTCGCACGCTTCACGGGCCCAAGAGATAACCTCCGCTCCAACAAGTTGTTCCCGCTCCTCCTGACATACTTCACATTCCCATAATCTGTGAAAAACTGAATCCACCTTAGCTTGGCACAGCGGGCACAGAGGACTGACCTGGTAGCCGTACCTTAGTGCGCGGGAGTTGGTCCAGAGAGCGTTGCACGTAAGAGCCCGCACAGAGCCTTTTTTCCCAAGCCGTGAGCTTTTTCGAGCGGAGCCCAGCCGTGACGACATCGAAACAGAGGCGATTCGATCCATCAAGTTAGGGGGGGGGGTCCGATCGGGGGCCAACTCCACGGCAGGCTCAGCTAAGCCTATGGCAGGCTCAGGAGGCAGCACTCCTATGCCACAGAAAAGGTCGCCGTCCACCAACTTGCCGTATGCCGCTCTCTCAAGCTGGCGAAGCACGGCTTGGTGCAGCAACACTTTAAAGAGGGACGGCGAGAGCTGGGTGCACGAGAGCTCGCGCCCCTGGTCATCCGAGAAAACGACCATGCTCTTCATATCCCAACCAATCCTCCTCAGACTCATGTACATAGCACTCATGGGTCCCGAAACGCTCCTCCAAGTACTAGCTTTCTGGCGACTGGCGAACACTCCTTCCCAAGAAGCCCGAATGGTGGCCCAGTCCAAGGTACCAGGAAAACCATTGGTCCTGAGAAGCCAGACCTCTTTGACGTATCTCAACACAGGAGCGACCGAGCCGCACCAAACAGGGTCGCCCTCGATAAGAGAAAGAACGGTAAGGGACCGACGGGCAGCATCAGGCTTAACAGAACTCGCCGCCACACGTCTGAGGCTGTGCACCTCTCCATCCGTCAAACCCTGGACTTCACAGCCGTAAATGTAGCCCGGCAGCGGACCAGAAGTGAACACTAGGAGGAGGAGGAGGAGGAGGAGGAGGAGGAGGATGAGGAGGAGGACGGGGACGAGGACGACGATTCGTGACGAGGACGAGAACGACGACGAGGAAGAAGAACAATCATAAGATGAAAATTTGTAGTAGTAGAAATATTATTACTACGACTAACATGAGTAGTAGTAGTAGTAGTACTACTACTACTACTACTACTACCACTACTACTACTACTACTACTACTACTACTACTGACTCTACTACTACTACTTACTACTACTGCTACTACTACACTACTACTACTACTACTACTACGACCACATTACTATTACATAACTACTACTTACTACGACTACCACTACTACTAAAACTACTACTACCTACATACCTACCTACCGATCCTACCTACCTACCTACCTACTACCTACCTACCGACCTACCTACCTACCTACCTACCTACCTACCGACCGCCCTACCTACTACCTACCTACCTACCGCCCTACCGCCTACCGACCTACCTACCTACATACCTACCTACCTACCTACCTACCTACCTACCTACTTGCCTACCTACCTACCTACCGACCTACCGACCTACCGACCTACCGACCGACCGACCGACCTACCTACCTACCTACCTACGTTCCTTCTTTCCTACCTACGTACCTACCGACCGACCTACCTACTACTCCTAACCCTACTTTTACTATTACTCCTACCACTACTACTACTACTACTACTACTACTACTACTACTACTACTACTACGACTACTACTATCACTACTACTATCACTACTACTACTACTACTACTACTACTACTACTACTACTACTACTACGACTACTACTACTACGACTACTCCGACTACTACGACTACTACGACTACTAC